TAGGAAAAACTAGGAACCAATTCAAAAAACTAGGAAAAACAAGGAACCAATTCTAAAAACTAGGAAAAACTAGGAACGCTGGAGGTAAAGTCAGCTATGTTGTGCAGAGAAAGAGTGACAATTCTATTGGAAGTTGTTCACATATCAGCCTGAATGATCTCCTCCAAAAGACGACGGTTTTAAGCTGCTAAAGATTTAGTTAGATAACAAATATTGGTGTGAAGAAGCATTATGTAGATGGCAACCTGCCATGGACACATCAAAATACAGCAGTCGTATGAAGTGATGAACCCCACCAATGAGTGTAACAAGTGAAAGATCACGGGAAACAGAAGAATGCCATAGAACAATGAGACAAGAATGAGAACACCAAAAGGAGGGAGTATGAGCCAAATACCATAGCAAGGAACAAGCCAGACAAAGTAGATAATCCAGATCCAACTGTGAATACAGGTGGGAAAAGGCAAAACAGCCTTCCCAGGCAGCCAATATCCTTGGAAGGAAGACCTGATCCCAATAGCAGAGAACATATGAGGAATGGTAAAGGATGGCATAAATATCAGAATGACGATAACTACATACCAGGAGGGGGAGGAATTAGGTCTCAAGAGAAAAAAAGGTACAAGGAAATAATTCCAAAGGGTTCAGAAGGAGAACCAGACAGGGCATGAAGAATAACATTCAGATCCCTATCCGGCAGAACAAGGAACATAGCAGATGGACCAGACAAAAGAAATGGAATAGGTGGGAAATAACCAGGGAAGAGAAGGCTTTCTGGAAGTGGGAAACAAAAGGTGTTTACCAGGGCAGCCCTATAAAGAGCAACATTTGAAACAGACAAACCCTGATCAAACAACCAGATGAAGAACTGGGACAAGTGAGAAACTGAAGGACAAGATGGTCAGAAGCCATGGCAAATAGACCAAAGTCAGAAGCAAGACTAATGCCTCTGGCACAAAGACAAGGAGAGGGGAAAGTGCTACAGGCAAGAAAAGATGCTACACGAGGGGTGAGTCCCTGAGCTGAGGCACGGAACCTGACAAACGACACATAGAAAGATGGAGTGTGGTGACATTGGGATGAAAAATGCCAGACTTGCAGATGTTGCAGAAGCAATCAGGTCAGAGAAAATGGCAGGGTCTGTTGATCCAATAAGGGCTAGAGCAGAGGGAACCATGTCTGAGCCAGCCAATATGGAACAAACAGCAGAAAACAACAAGGAGTGGTCTGGATAAGGGAAAAAACCTAGAGGAGAAGTCTGATCAGAGGGTAAGCATATAGTGAAGACCCTTCCAATCTTGACTGAGAACATCCACCCCCAAAGCTGGGGGGTGAGGAATTGGAGACCGAAAAGAAAGGAAGTTTGGCATTTCCATGAGTGGAAAACACATGCATGTATGCAGTGTTCCCTGTTGAGAATGCACTCACAGAAATACCTGAAAATGAAGAGACCACTCTGTGAAGAACCTGGTTGGGATGTGGTAAGAGATCAGCCCCAAGATTCATAACTCCTGGAACATGACCCACCTAAGCCTTCATTTCATGGTCATTGGCCTAGTACAGGAAATCCAGAGTTTAAAAAGACAGATATCTGGACTTGGTTCCCCTAGCCTGGTGAGAAAGCTGATGACAGTTGAATTGTCAGAATGAACCATGACCACCCTCCAGAAGAAATGATACAGAGCCCAATGAATTACCAAAGGCTCCAAGATGTGGATATGGAGAGTAGCCTCCTTGACTGACCATCGACCTGAAATCTCTAGGGAATCGAAGGGAAAAAAACCCAACTCACCAAAGAAGCATCCGTGAACAGATGAGATACAGGATGAGGTGGAGGAACAGGAACCCCCACTGTGGTCAAGTCCCTGTCAAGCCACTAAGCAAGTTCAGGCCAGATCCTAGGTGGAAGAGAGATGGAATGGTCCAAGGGATTGTAGGGAAAGTTCCACTGGTCAAGAAGCATCCAATGAAGGGAATTCATGTGTACCCGACCCAAGGGAATGAGATCTTTCATGGAAGCCAAAATCCCAAAAGAATAGAACCTCATGTGCAGAGAGAGAAGGAGAAGGTACAGCTATTGTGACTGCCCGCTCCACATCCTGGAGCCGAATTGGAGAAGGCTGCGCTCAACTGAGATGGAAAGTGAAGAGAACTCCCAAATGAATAAGATACTGTGAGGGGATATTAAAGGACTTCTCCAACTTGATGAGAAACCCCACCCAAGCAGCTTTTCAAAGAAGAAAGTGGGTGTGAGAGACTGACTGGGCATGGGAAGAGATGAGCAGAAGCCAGAGACCCAGTGAGTGAAGAAGATGTGCAAAAGAGCGTATCAATCAACAAAACGCATAAGGAGCTGAGGAATGACAGAATGGTAGTACCCAGAACTGAAAGATAGAACCCTCATAGATGAGCCGATGAAAAAAAAGGGACACTATGGCAAAAACTCACCAAAGTGAGAGGCAGGACTCCATGTTGAAGCAAGACATCTCCAGATAAGGATATGCCTGGACAGAGCAATGATGGGACTCCAAACTCCCATATTTTTGGAGACAAAACAAAGACGGGAGTAAAATCCCAGTTGAGTGGGCACCACCTGTTCGATAGTTCCTTTGTGTAGTAGAACTTGAACAGACTCGGCAAGAAACTGGACAAGGTACGATCCTGAAAAGGAGGGAAAGAGATCCGGGAAGTGGATAGAGAGGGAGTGAAACAAAAGGCAGAAACCCTCAGATACAACCCGTATAAACAACATAATTGTCGTGAAATGTAGCCAAAAAGACACATAAACTAAAGAACTTACAGAAAGTAATTATTACAAACTAACTAACAAAACTTAGAAACGTGTAGAGTCTACAAAGTACATAAAAAGAACAAACCTACAAAACTATGAAATTCTACCTAAAACATAAAACAATAAGTAACAACTGAAGTACAAAACCATTAAAGAAACTGAAAGGAAAAATGACCCTCAAATATCGAATGTATAAGTCCACTCAGAGAATCTATAAGACAAAGGACACAAAAATAAAACCTATCCTGAAGAACATGAGAATAAAAAGGCACTCAGTTAACAATAACAAAGTCTGACTCAAAACCAATCCCCAATTAGATGTGATTAGTAGTAAGAAAAAAAGAACTTACAAACTAAATAACATTAACAATGAAAAGAAGTAAAAATTTAAACAAAAAGAAAGGAATAAACACACTCCAAATGCAAGTTTAAACTAAAGTAACCTATATAGTAAAAGAAGTATAAAAATTTAACTTACCCAACACTGAGCAGAGAAGACATGATTGATCTAAATTATTGAGTGTGGAAATTACATCCATCCACACTAGCTTACATAGACTCATTGAACATTGGTATACCTCTGGGGAGTGAGAAATACACACTGAAAACTTACCACAGACTTCCTTGGAAAAAGAGCAAAACCTAACCCAGCAGATTACAAGGAGGCATGGTATCAGGTGGAAAGTGCCGGAACAAAAAATTGTAACTTGAAAGGAAAAATTGCCAGCCGAATGTAAGACATTCCCCACAAACTAAAGCTTGTGCTTGCCCAGCAGACATCGTTGACCCTGAGACCTGGGGCCTTGTGTCAAAACCATTGTCTGTTTATGGGGGGAGGGAATGTTATAATCTGCCATATAAATCTCAATTTCGTATGAACAAAACAGAAAACATTTCAAAAAGAAACGAATATAATCAATGGAAATCAAACACAAGAAGTCGAAGCTTGAAGTTCAAACTGATAAAAATCTGTGATCAAGCACAATCAAACTTTTGTAATCACATGGAAAACGAGTTAAACCACACATCTATACACTAGAGTGTCAATCAAGAAAGTGAAGATTGTGTTTCATTGGTAGAGTATAGATGGCACAGTATGATTGGTGGAGGGTAGTCATATGATCAGCACATGTTGGTGCAATGTATAATAAACTAGTGTGCTGTTGAAAATTTTAACAATGCTTAGAGGGCAAATGAAGGTCAAAATAGCTTTGGGTGAGAAGGTAGTATTGTTTTAAAATTAAATTTAATCTTTTATGAAAACACTTGATCACTAGATTCCATGGGTCATGTGGGCTAGTGTACCAGACTGTGAATCTGAGGATATATGTTTCATATTGTATTGCCCCAAAATCACACTCACTCCTTAAGGTCATGGGCATGATTTACAAATGATAGTCAAACCCCATTTCCCTATATTCACTTTCTAACTAAAAGAAAATCTTAAAAGCTAATTATAAAAAAGTATGGTATAAATTATTTTATTTTATACAAAACAATGCCAATATTTAATTTAAGAAAGCCTAAAATATGGATTTTAATATTTATTTTAAAACAAAATGTCAAAGCTTATAATTATAAATAGTGCTCAAGGTTTATTCATTAAGTTCTATAAAAAGAACAAGAATTTCTCTTATACAAAGATATCTTGATCTCTATATTAAATACCAATCAAAAACAAATGTCCAAATTAATTACAGCAATTTTTTTTAAACAAAGACTGTGGTTTTCATTCTTTAGTCTGAGCATACTAAATATTACTGATCTCAATACTGAATAATGATTTATCAAAAGGCAAACTTAAATTGTGATAATACATTTAAGTAGATTGGAATATGTTTCAAACTATAAGCTCTTAGCCTTGACAATAAATAATTATTCAATTCAGAAAGTCAATTTTGTTTTTCTGAAACCAAATATATAAACACAAATTGGTATAATATTTATGACTGATGAAAAAGTTCTTAACCTGTTAAACATTGCTTTTCTTAGCAGTAACATCATGGAATCCTTCAGATAAATGCTGATTTTGAGAAGTGGAATGAAAGCACTCAGAAGTCTTTCAGCTGAGCAGTGAGGTAGAAAGGGGAGATAGTCTAAAACTTCCCGCAAACGACCTAAGGAATCCAAAAATAACTGGGGGGCTGCATGAACTGTCTTTGCTAAAACGGCTAAGAATATAATACAATGATGTGAATTTGTGAGTATTTGAAAACACAACTTAAAATCTTAAGTAATATATTTCTGTAGTCAAATATGTTTCATGTCATTAAAAATTTTAGGTGAATCAGATAATTGCTCTTGCTGATACTTGAAGATTTTAAGCATGATTTAAGTTTTATCTTATTATTATTATTTATTAAAAGTTAACAAAACAAGACAGAGAATTTAATAATTATAAAATGTACGTTATTTTTTATGGAAAAAATAAGGTAACACTACAGTACATACAAAGCAAATTTTGCTTTTCCCATTGGTTTTTACTTTAAAAACATGCAAACCAGATAATGCATTCATGACCTCTTGTGAAGACACCTACCAACATAATGAGCCACAGGAGATGTGTTCTTTGTAACAACACGGTTCAGAATCTGTTCCAAAACTTCTGCCCTGACTATTTCATGAGTCTTTAAAGATAAAAATTAGATATTCAGAAACTTTTATGTACTTTTCATAAGTCTAACATTTTTTTTCTGAACCATATATAAAGCAAAATTTCCTGATGAGTCTAAAATAAGATGTCAAAATGTTATGTACATAAACATTTGCCAAAATAAAAGAAATAATACAATTACATTTGTCCCATCCAGCCCTTAAATTGCTAGATTGAGTAAAAAAACAAAAATAAAAACTTGTGATATGTTTCTGCTGGTCAGAATAATTACTTTAAGTTGTTAATAAATTGAAATAAAGTTATAAGAATGTTATAAAATTAATTTTTCCTAGTAAAATCATTCAAGTAACACTTACACATAAATTTATTAAGAATTCCTTTATTATTGCCATTTTAGAAATGTTTCTAACATACGTATTGAAATGTGTTTCATGATGATGTATGTGAGCTTTACAATGCTTCTTCAAAAGTACCATTTAACTCAAACTGCTATATCTACTTCTACAAATTCTAAATATATATATATATATATACAACTGAGAGAAAAAATTAAATACGCATTAGTATTATAGATAATAATTTTGTTACATAGCCTTAAATATTTTGTTTCACATCCACATCTTTGATTTTTAATAGCTTAAACCTTATAAAATTGAAATATCTGCACACACATATATATGACTTAGATGTTGATGACTAATATGTATGAGCATGTTGGTGTGGTCAAGTATTGCTTAGGTTCTAATACCTAAATGTAGAAAAACTGAAGTGGTTCTTGAAGTGACACGTAAGTTGTCTTAGAAATAAACCATGATCACACGATATACTCTACCTGTACATGGCTTGCAGTAACCTGTTTCATTTGTCCTGATAAGCACAAATAGAGAGAACTATTTTAATTTCTTTATCAAGTCAGAACTATACATACAGACTATAAATAGATACATATTTGAATGTTTGAAACTTTGTAGGTAAACTGTAAATTATTTGTGAAATTAAATTAAAATGTGTATGAACTTTGGTACTGTTTAAATAAACAAAAAGGCACTATACAGTACAGAATTTCTAAATACATTTTCTAGAAGTATGCAGTAATGTGTAATTCATGTGGAAATAAACATGACAAGTATGTTTACAGGGACTGTTTTCATTATGAACATGAAAGACTAGCCTACATGTACATTTGTGGAAACAAACATGACATGTATGTTTTCAGGGAGTGTTTTTATTATGAACATGAAAGACTAGCCTACTTGTACATCTGTAGAAATACACATGACAAGTATGTCTACAAGAACTGTTTTCATTATGAACATGAAAGACTGACTTACATGTACATTTGTAGAAATAAACATGACATGTATGTTTACAGGGAGTGTTTTTATTATGAACATGAAAGACTAGCATACATGAACATCTGTAGAAATAAATATGACAAGTATGCCTACAGGAACTGTTTTCATTGTGAACATGAAAGACTGACCTGCATGTACATTTGTGAAATTAAACATGACAAGCATATTTACAGAGAATTATTTCATCAGAAACATGACAGATTCTGAACAGCATGCACTTTAAATCTACAGGTGATATGTACATCAGTTACAAAGATGTATAGCAGATTGTTTTCATTACTAAACACACAAAAAACATGAATACCTTTTATACAATTAGTCCTTGATGTTTCTAGATTACATGTAAATGGTCTGTATATATAAATTTGACGGCCACATGTTTAGGAGGCTCTTTTCATTACCAGACAATCTAAAAAATTTATAAACAACTTGGGTTGACCCTTAAAAGTAACTTATGTGTCATTTGTAAAAAATAAACCTGACAAGTACATGATTGAGGGAAGTGCCTTTAAACTTCTGCTTCAAAATTCTGATTTTGCTTTTTACAGACCAAGTTCTTAATTAAATAGCAACAGAAAGGAGAAGCCTATGAGACATGACTTCCACAAGACCAGTGGTCACCTTGTGGAGCAGCACTTGGTGGGATACCTCATCCTTCTCAAGCAGCAAATATTTTTTGCACAATTCATATTTATTTATTGATATATTTCATTCACATTACAGAGAGAGATTTACAGTAAAAGACATTGAGTAAAGTCAGTGCCAGTGATAACGTGTCTCAAAGGTGGGCAGAACATTAGTGGGTTTAGAGCGGCTAGGATTTTAGGCCATTCTGTCTTGGTGAAATACATGAGATAGATATTGTAATGACAGGTGGAGGGAAAAGGAACACTCACCCGCATTCCAAGGCAAATCCAGCTGGACAAATCCACTGGAAACTGCTTGGGAGGTACTGTAATGAGGCGTACTGTATCACACTTCAGTAGAACACCCCAGTCATACATCTTGGGTGAGCCAAGAGAAAACTCTTCCTATTGAAATCCCCAGAAACTTGGGAAGTAAGGGTTCTTCCATTCTCCACAACAAAAACTGAGGAGGGGTGGATTCATGATGGAGAGAACATCTGGAATTGGGTCCCCAATGAGAGACAGTGCAATGAGTTACTATGATTAAAGACAGCAAGCACAAATCAAGTGTAGGGGTAGGACTACACTTGGTGCTGTCTGTATTAATGTTTTCTGTAAAATGTGCAGAGACAGCCATGGCAATTGTAGAGATATACTGCCAAAGCAATCTTGCAGAAAACCGTGTCTCAAAGGTGGACACTGATCAGGGACAGATGGGTTTAACATTCTCTTGTTCTCCCCTGCCAATATCAATAAGTTGATAGTATCCAATCGAAGAAACTGTTAGAAGCTTTATACTTTGATATTCATTTCATGAACACTAAATTGGTGCTCATTACTAATTGGAGAAAATTTAAAAATGGAGAGACGAATTTCTTTCAGTACATGTGCATAATAGTAGAATACATACAGTAGCCTATACTTTGCAGGCCTATGCTATAGTATACACAACTGCTGCCAAAAGTTTTGAGGTTAACCTCCATTTCATCTTGCATTTATAATTATATCATTTACTGTTTTCTTTTACTTTTCCATCCAAACATTCATAACCTTTTATTATCAGCAGTTTTAGATATGCTTTTGCTAGAAAAATAAAGACAACACTGCACACGAAGTAAACTTAAACTGTGTGACATCATGGTTCCTTTTTTTTTTCTTCTGCATGTTATAAATTATTGTGTTGATAATGGTTTGAAATTTTCAGGCAGCCAAATACCTGCCCAAATTACCTATCCAGGTATCTCGGTAGGAATTTTGGTACCCATTCAAACACTAGGAGAATGGCAACTGGAGGGAAGCCAAAACCAGAGGCACATGAAAATGTCCAATGATATAAATATTAGAAGAATGTATTAGGTGTATTTCACATATCAGCCTGCAATAACTCCAAAGGGCAGTGATGAAAAGGGAGAAGAGAGACTGTGATATGTTGAATCTGGTGGGAGGAGCCACAAAAGATTGTATGGTAAAAATCACCCAAAGAAAAATACTGGAGATGGGTAAGCTGTCAAACTCAACCGGCCCCAATTTATGCAATCCACTCAGCAGGGATGAGCAGGATCCCCTTATGCTTTATTCATGATAGTTCATGAGTGGTAGTCCAGCATAGTACAATAATACCACCCGGTCTGCCTCTAGATGGTCTTATGGAACCCCTCATTTCTACAGGGCCTGTTGCAACCTAGATAAAGTATACTGTGTTAGTGGTTGGTAGTGCATATTTGGTTTGATAAAAGCACATCTGACTGAACAACACTTGCCACAGAGTGGGATCCTGTGAAAAAGAAGTAAGAGACCGTGGAAAGAAAAGACTAGTAATGAAAATACTCACCACTCGTTATAATCTAGCAGATGTGGTTAATATAGCTACGGGGGTAGTAGAAAACCCTCACAGGAAGATATTGCTAGATCATGCAAATAATGGGAGACAAAATCTATTAGGGGAGGTCCACATACCAGCCCACGCAATTTCCTCTAGCGGACAATTCAACTGGGCCAATAAGGATACAGAAATGTGACGAATCTGATGAGACATAACTCGCAGAAGTCTCATCGCCTCCAAAGAAAACCCAGAATAAGCAATATGGATCTATTTTCATACCCACCCCATTAAAGTAACCAGGGATAAATCCCAGAAAACTGAAGGGTCACAATGAATAAAAAACAGTTGTCTAGCTCCTCTATAAGATTTAGTGCGGGCAACATAACACTTCAAAACCCTCATTGAACATAACAAATGATACGAATCCAATTGTTCATATAGGTGAGAAATGGCAGTCAGATGAATCAGTGAAAAGGATTTTCCCTTCCTGGCTGCCAGTGTCTTAGGTAAGAAGGACCTATATGGGTATAAAAGGACATAGGCAGAATGCTAAAGAATTCTGTGCACATGCAGCACAAACAACTCCAACCGGGCGATGTCCACAGGCCAGCAGCAACAAAAAATAAATCTTAAGGGAAAGGTGACACATGGTACATGAGATTTAGAGCACAAATGGATGTTGATAAAGAGTATGTAACACCACTCTAACAAAGGACCCTGAAAACTTAAGAAGGCCAGAGAGCACTGGGGACTCAAAGAATTTCCGTCTCTTCCAGTATCTGAAGGTAGCCAATTGTAGAAGATGCAAAACCCTCGTAAACGAGCCAGGTCAAAAACCGAGCTATGGTTGACACATTTGGACAAAGTGGGTTCAACCTCTTCACAATACACCATTGTCGATATGTGTACCATTTCCATTGATAAATGTCCATCATGGGATAATGCAGAGACTAAGACAGTACATGGCAACCTTAGAAGTTAAACCCTGATGCCATGGAAGAACTGCATATCCTCCGCACATGAAGCTTGAGCTTCGGGATGGAGGGGTGTAAGATGTCGGATCGTGGCTGCCTCAACAGAGCTGGGTAAAGAGGAAGTGAAAGAGGTGGGCAGAAATCAGGGTTGAGCCAGGTAATCCAGTGCTACCACTAATTTTGAGGTGGAGGATTGTTGAGGGTAAAAAATTTTTAATGGTGTTGGGATATTTATAAACGGCTTTCAATTTGATATTTTTTAGACAATTCTTTAAAGCCATAAAACTAGAACTGTTGTTAAATATACATGAATGTTTCAGTATAACTTTACAGTGAGCATTATGATTCAGATAGTTTATATAGCACTGGTGTCATATTTAGTTATTTTTAGAAGTGGTATTTTATGGTAAGTTTGTTTATGTAACTGTTTATGAATCATACACTGTGTAGTTCAACTGTTATGAATTAAAGAAAATGTAGAATAGTGAGATTATTGCATCATGTTGCTAGAACTTTCTTAGTTTCTCCTTGGTTTAATTGAGTATTATTGCATCAGAATATTTAGTATTGTGTGGAATGTTCTAGACTTCTGTTGGGGTATAAATATGCATTGAAAAATTAATGAGTTCTAGTTCTGGACTGCATGTTCTAGAGTTTAGTGATAAAGAATGTATAGTGGTGATTATTAAAGTGAAATTATCACAGGCTGTGTTGTAATAACAGAGGAGAGAAGAATAATTCATCTTGTCAGTTGTGTTTTAATGTATCTGAACCAGCCTGTGTGAACTTTTACAAAAATAGATAAAATTATTTAAAGCTCTGGATACAACTGCAGTAACCAACAGTATAACGAACATTTGTATATACATTTGATGTGTTTTAATATATTATTTTAAAACAAGTGGACTGTGTTTCTGTTTATTTATAGTTGAAATTTATTGTCAACAAGTTATTTACACCTACTGTAAAGAATCTAGCCTTACAAAACCTGACAACTGTAAATGATGCTAGTTACTGGTTATTAATCCTAACCAAATATCTTATTTCCTTTTGATGGGCATTTTGATAAAGTCCATAGGGTGCTGTAACTGTTCCAAAATTGTATAAATATTTTTTATTTCTTCATCAAGGTCATGTAGTGACATATTCTATAAGCTCTTAAAAATATTGAGGTTATAACCGATGTTTTACAATTTTATGGTGTCATGATAAAAAGTGCACATAGCTTATGTGGTTTGTTAGTTTTTTACAGATAAAAAGAACAGACCCTGTTTCTGCTTTAGTTATGAGAATGTCTAAAAATGTGAGCAAATTGTTGGTTTCCAATTCCACTTTAAACTTAACAGTACTATGAAGCTTGTTAATCTTCTGGAAAAAAGGCTTAAAAATCATTTCTATTATTTAGCCATACAGAAAATATGTCGCCAACATATCAGAACCAGGAGATATCCTTTGTATTCAGATGCACTGTAGGAAGAAATTCACATTCAAAATATTCCATAAGATGTTACACAGAAATGGAAATAAAGAATTGCATACAGCCACTCCATATCTTTGTTTGTAATTTTGTCCCATGCAAACAAATACATTATCTTCAAAACATGTTTCCACTAGTGAGACAAAAGTATGGATAGTCACATGAAGTGAAATCTTGAGTTCAGGTAATTTTCTATTCATGAAATCTATTATTTCAACAATTGGTATGTTTATAAGCCAAAAATTCCATGTAAAAACTGACCACTTTTCCTTCATTTATGTTAAGAAGTTATTATTTTTATTTGGCAAAATCTGTATTATTCATAATAAGTAACAATGAGAGCTTTCCTAGAGTAGGAGATAGGTATTGTTCTAGTCATTTACATACCAAATAAATAAATGGTCCTATGTTGGAAATTATAGGTGTAAGAAGGCAGCCATCTTTATGCATTTTAGACAACCCATACATAATTGGGAGAGAAGAATTGATCAATTTTAAAATTTTTAAGAGATCAGGATAATCAGCTAGATTTTTTAGGGGAATTTATTAAAATACAATACTTTCTATAAAGGCAGGTTAGACTTGAGTTTATCATAAGTATCTTTATCTTTCAATAGATAGATTTATCCAGGATGACAATTTGTTTTATTTTTTCATATTTATTTACAGCAATATCCTCATTCTTTTCTTACTTTTTCTTAAGAATTTTGTGCAACAATGAGGAATCACTAAGTCTTCATTTCCCTTTTAAAAGAGTATGATGGTTAAAAATCCAGTTAAAAAATTCAAATCATCATCATTAGCCAATTTAACATCATATATTAAGTCAAGGTTAAGTTCAACAATTTTGAAAGAAAAGGAGCAACCATAACTTAACATTATTTTTTCCATATCTGTAAGACAACAGGTTTATGGTGTTTATATTTGGTTGGGAAGCTTTATACCATATACTTCTTTTAAACAGTTTACCTAATATATTTTGAAATCTCACCTCTTCTTAATTTAATTTCCTTTCACCATATGTTTTACAGCTCTTCGGCAATTGTAAATGGCTTCAATAGTTTCTAATTTTATTTATTCATTCTGTTGGATTCAAACTGATTTTTCCAAATTATCAAACAATAGCTCTTGGTTCTTTATATGTTAAAAATGTCTTACCCTCAAACAAGTCTGTACCTCAAGATAAAGAGCAGGGTGTCTATATAGTACTCTGCCATGCCTGTGAAAAAGTTAATGTTGGTGAAACAGGTAGAAATTTAGACACCCGATTTGCAGAACATAAAAAGGATGTTAAAAATGGTCAAACAAATAATGTTCTTTTTCTACACATGAGTAAGTTTGATCATTATCCAAAAAAACACAAAAACTAAAAATTATGTCATAAGAAAAAGAGGTTGCCAAAGTTTAACACCTCTAAATGTCACATTCAGTTGAACCTTTTTCTGGTGTTATATGCCCTGAAGCAATACATCTAATAGCTTGACTAATCACCTGGATAGCCTTAACCAAATAATCATTCAACGAACTAATACCTTGAATGTTTCTTGAATAATACGAGCTCCTAGCAAACATGCTTCCTCATTCGGTGTTTGTGGTTTAGGGCGAGATGGAAGATTACTGGCTCGTTCAAATGACCTCTTTGGTCCAAAAGAGTCAAGAAGAGTGAAGCCAAGCCTTATTAACCCTTGAGTTACATAATCCCAACCAAACTGACTGTGAAAATAATTGTCAGTAAATTATAACTTTGGAAAGTACATATTTAAAAAAATGTTTTATTGAAGTTCAAAATGAGGAACTTAGAGAGAGAGAGGTTTATCATCAGACTTTAAAAAGGACTTGACATTTTCTTCTCATTGTGAGTTAAGTGGTAAGTATTATACTATTACATAAGTATTTGTTATACGATACTACTTAATACTTATTAAACAAAACACAGAATAAAAAAGCCAAAGGAACCTAGGCTAAGCACTCATTCAGTGTTACCCTAATATTTAACTTGAATTTACAGATTAGCTGAATTATTTCAGATGTGTGCAACCGTTTATAAACATAAAAACAATAATAATTTAACATTAAGCTAACCTGTTGGAGATGGTTTCCAGGAGAGAGGTTGTTACTTCAAAATCCATTGGGAGCATCTTTCTCATCCAATTTGAGTCACATTTTTTCTGCTTTTCTTGAAAACTTCGAAGAACTGCATTTCTCAAAACATCTAAAATCTATAAGCAGCCAACAAAATACATTAATTAATTGTATTTTGCATCAAGTAGATTTACCTTAAATGTATTCCTGATGTTAATATCTGTTACCTAAAAAAAGTGTAACAGCAATACTATGATTCTGTGAATTCAATGAAAGGACTAATTAAAATCAGCTGAAAAAAATAATACTGTTGACTACAACAGTCACATGTTATTTCTAATTTCCATTAATAAGCTTTATGAACCACATATAATAACACCAACTGTGCACAACAATATGCAAAGATGCCTAAAGAAAACCAAAATCAAGACATACGGTAGTAGATCATGTGGCCAAAGCAACCTACAGGACACACTGCGTGTTATTACCAGGAGTGATGCTTTAGCAATTTTCCACTTTCTGTAGCTCGGACTGTAGTAACCCAAACTATCATATATTTTTAGTAGATGTACTATACTGGACCCTTACTTCACATACCAAACTTCAAGGCAATACATCAAGAAATACACGAGATATAAAATCTCAAATTTTGATTGAATTTTTCCTTTTTTCTTCATACCAAAAGTACAGAAACTTTATTTGATAGAAAAACCTTCTTAACTTTTAAGGGTTTTTTCAAATTTGGTACACTGATAGATCTTTACAACCTACAATTAGGTGTCTATTTTACAGCTAATATTCATTCATTAGCTAGATTGCATGTTTTGTTTTACCCACCATCATTCCACAAGTTTAACAAAAAACATGGCCTGGCTAACTAACGAAGGAATATTTGTTGTAAAATTCTTATCAATATTATAAGTGTAGCTACCAGTTTGGCCACTAATTTTTTTAATGAAAAAATTAGAAAGGAAGGCTTAATTTTACCATATGTTCCAGGTTTAACTACTAGTTTATTTAAAGTGTTTAAAAAAACAACAGATATTCTACCCTATATTCAAACTGATAAATAAGATGAATCAAATGTTAGGTACTACGAAAGACGAAATACAGTTAACTGAAAACACTGGAATATATAAAATAGAATGTGAATATGGAAGTATTTACATTGGTCAGACAAAATGTAATTTAAAATACCGTTTAAATGAGCATAAGGGATATGTAAGAAATAAAAAAACTGAAAATTCATCCATAGCAGAACATGTACAGGAAACACAACACACAATATTATGGGCAAAAACTGTAATATTAGCTCAACCAAAAAGTATAAGAGCTAATAATATTCGTGAATCCTTAGAAATAATAAAACATAAAAAAGATCCTGTAGTAGTAAATAGAAATGAAGGTATGGTGAATATTTCTTCAAGAATGTGGATTGATCTCCTTTGAATGGTTTAGCATGAAGTTATGTAAAATAGCATACAGGTCACATGACCTACTAAAAAGTTATAAATACTTTAGCATTGTCTTGTAATTCACTCCTGAGGATGACGTTGCAACATCGAAACATGTAGAGTCGTCAACTTTTTGAAGGCCCTAGATAGGCCTAAATAAAATGTTTTTAATTGTGTACCAATTTTAACATTGAATATTATTTATGATTTTAAATATATATGTGTTTTAGACTATTTTTGTCATCTTATAGACAAAGTTACAAAATGGTATGGAAAAACCTTAAAGCACATGTAACACATCATTATGTAGAAATAAATAAAATAAGCATATATACTAGAAGGAGTTAGTGCTTGTATCAGAATGAGTAAAAGCTTCCTAAAACTATTCTTACTTGGCCTTCAAATCTCTTCATCTTACTTAGTGATAGACTCAATGCCAGATTAAACGGTGAAAGAACACACTTTGGATTATGTTGTCTCGCCTGCAAAATAATAAAGGTGAATAACAAGATTCATATATAACACAAATTCAGATCTTATTATTACAATAAACCTTTCAAGGAATTCACAATTAGATTTCATTAACAGATGTAGTTGTAGCTGTCAGGTAATCCTCAGCCAAACTATGAATGACTTCCAAACAGTTTTTTATGTCCAATTCTTTAAAAGAAAAACCTATTTTATTCTTCTGAATCTACATATCTCTAGCATACATTCAATTTTTATTTTTCTCCTTCTATTTCTTTAAAATGCTACCTTTATTATTATCCCAAAAAATGTTTGCCCTTAAACTATGCAGATATATATATATGCACTTCACTAAAAATAGTACAATATCATAGTTGAGTAAATAATGGGTGCAGTTTCAAGAATGTTCTAATTACTTCACTATATTAAACCATATATCACCTCAGTAAAATACATCAGCTATCAGTATTGAACCTTTATAATTAATTAAAACAACAGCATATGAAGTTTCTGTGGAATATTTAAAAACCTGTCATAAAGAACTAAATATTGAGTTTTTATGTCTATTTACCAATTGAAGAATGATATACAAATATGGCTACTTCGAAAATCAGATAATAAATGTAATTAATATTTAAAAAAAACATTACTAACCAGTACAATTTGAGCATTCTTTTGTAGCTTCTATTCTCATTATGATAAATGCAACCACAATTATTTTTCAAAAGATTTAAGAACAGCTATCTATATCTATCAAATATATAAGGGCCAGGCTTTCTTAAGTGTTCAATTTGATGTTACCAGTGTTCTGGGGGAAATTTCTCTGAGTACATACCTTACACAAACATATAATAATTTCTAAATGATAGATGATGGACAGAGCTTTTCAAATATACATAACATGTTGAATTTGTGTTAAGTTTTTCCAGCAAACCAAGGAAATAAACAATAGTGGGGTGTTAAAAATAGCATGTCGCCAGCAGAAAAGTTTAATTTCAAAGCAACAACACACACACAAAAATTGTAAGTATGACTCAAGCCTTTACAGTGATTAATTAGTAAACATTTATGTTTTGAAAATTTGTTATTAGCTGATTGTCCTATTACATTTTCACATATAAAAATATCCAAAATAACATGTCACCATAATCATGTTCTTCTTTACGGTTGTTTATTTTCAAGAAAATAATCACAAATCTTTGAGTAAAAAAAAAATCAGAGTTTAAAATCAATCCGGGAAGTATATAATTTGATTTGATCATACCCCAAACACTGAGTATCAAGAGATATTTTGAGTATGCCCAATTGTAGCTTGTAATAAAATTTGTTTTCTTAAGCATGTGATCTCCTTTACGCATATATCTAATATAGATACTCAAATTATGTCATTTTGTTATATCGTTATACACAACAGCTGAGACATCTGTTGTTCTCAATAACTGAAAAGGTAAACGTAAATTGCATTCTTCAATAAAAAATCACTGAGCATCAATTTGTGTGAATTCCTTTACTTGTTCTCCTTTACTTCAGTTTTGCTTCAGAAGGGAATATATAGAGCACATAATGCTTTTCCAGCCATATTTAGTTTCCACCACATGCAGATGATTATGGTAGAGTGGATTTGAAATGTATTAGTCACAAATCAACTCATTTTCATGCAAGAAAAGTCCTTCAAAGTGGGATTACATAATAAATGTGTATCTCTTTAACTGTATAACCAACATTCAAATGGTGTGAGTGGTGGTAGTTTTAGGTTTAAATGACTGATAAATTACAAAGCTAAATCTGTGAGTGATAATTAGGGGTCTATTTATAAAAACAGATAATTGGGAACAGTGAGATGCATGTAAAGGAGTTCACAGAATGGGTAATGGAGATTACCATTTTAATTCAACTCCTTATATATGCTTGCATATCTTAGTATTGTTACAAAAGCGGAAGTCACATGATGCTGATAACACGTCATGAGATTCTAGAAGGACCTTGACTGGCAACTGTAGTCTGTTCTACGTGTCCTCTCTTTTTTTAGTATATAAGCCGGAGATAGATTGAAGAGAAATAAATCGAGTCAAGCGAGCAGTAAACACCGTAAGTAAAGTGTGTGAATTGCTGTGAATTATAGCATGTGTTTATAAAAAGTTGTTAAGTTTAAAGTGACTGTGGAAATTAAGTGTATTACAAAGTTTGTAACGACAAAGAATAAACTAGTTTTAATTAAGAAAGGACTTGTATCCCTGAATTTTCTCGGAAAGAAATTTTACGTGAAATTATCAAACAAGCAGATACGTAACAGTATAATGCCACATTATAATAAAAGCTTAAGATTATGATCTGTGGAAGTAGTCTAATACAAAATAATTATTCTTATTAGCCTACTATAGCTGGATTTACTGTAGAAATATAAAGGAGATCACATTAATTTCTACACCTGTCTTTGCTAATATTACAGAAGTGTTAAGCATTTCTGTGATGGGTTTCATATTTGTATTGTTCGAATGGATGATAAACAAAGTTGGCAGCTGAAATATTATCACAGAAAAAAGGCAGCAGAAGGGAAAACCTTCTTACAATTTGTTTGCTTTTTGCCTGTTTATTCTAAGTATAATATAATCTGGTAAAGAAGAACACATGAAAATTAGTAGTCATTTTCATCAAGGTGGAAAAATATGACAGTGTGTAGCCCAAATTTTAGATTTGAGTCACAAGATTTTTCAGTAGCTATATTTTCAAGAACTGTATAAATCATACTTATAGGAGAAGATTTTTTTTTAACATTTTCCAGTTGAAAAATGGACACTTAAGAAATCCTGGCCCATAAATACTCCAAACTAGTATGGCTCAGGTGTGACCAGGTGATTAGCATGTCAGACTGTGCATCTGAGGGTCCAAGATTTGTGTCCCATTCCCATAAAGAATAAAAATTGTGCTCTGCACTTTGGAGTAAGTGTGCATTAAAAGTTGGCATGGCTACTATTGGCTAGGTGCCTCCCCCTCTATAGTCCACAAGTTCAAAAGAAGGGACAGCTAATGCAGATAGCCCTTGTATAGTTTTGCATGAACATCCTGCTGAACACTGATATTTGGACAAAAGTTTTACTAAGTTTTAATTAAAGGGGACACATGAAAGTGTTGAAAGTTGTTTCCATAAAACTTGTTCACTGATAGTGGATCTTAACTTCATTTTAGCATACCACACAGTTTAGATGCCTACAAAGTACAAAAACAAAAGTTTAGATATTTTCATTCATATAATTAACAAGATAATCATAATGATTTATCATTACTTTTACACCATTTTCAACACAAAATGAAACAAATTAGAATTACCTTTCAAAATAATATTTTAAATGTAGAATTTTAAAGGTGTATTTGGAATGGCACTGTATAACACAAGTATTGAAAATGTAAAACAACAATGGAAACAAATTTATTTTTCAAAGGCATAAGTGACCACCTTTACTGCCTTTTGTTTGAGAATGTCATCAAAATAGCCTAAACTACACAGGCCAAAAAAGCCAGATAACTTTATTACAGATATTTTTTCTTCACAAAAACATTATGACTCAAGTTAAATTCAAATCTTCAGTAATCATTTAGGAAGAGTATGTTACCTTCTTAATTTTCACAACCTGCTCACAAAATTGAATGAAATAGGCAGTAGATACACAACCTCACAAACTTAAAAATGTTAAATGTTTAACAATATGGTATAATTTTTCTTTTAGTATCTGATCTGGTAGGTCTAAATGCACATATCACACCCTTTCACATTCAAAAGTTAATTAAAGTACTTTATTATCAATATATACGAATAAACTTGACATCAAAACGTAGTTAATAAATCAATTTTTAAAATTATTCAAGTTTTAAGTTCTTAATTTTATAAGGAATATTAAAAAATCCTGAATTTCCCCTAATGTGAGAAATGTGACATTTTGTCTCCAGGCATTCACTCTTCTGTCACATCCTCATTCAGGATTTGTCAATAGTTCTCTCCTTCATTTAATATTATATAATTTATAACCAATAGAAAGCCAAGGTTCCATCTATCAAATGACATATTATATTACATTTTTTTTGAACAGAGAAACTTCATTCCCATGGGAAACACATTGACATGCTTACCTGAATTTTTAACGAATCTTGTCCCATAGCTTGAAAGGCAGAAAAATTGTGATACATATGGAACATATTCTGCTTTTTGCATGTTATTATTCTATGTTTAATTAAATAAAAAGTATTTATTGCAGTAGTACCATTAGAATAAAAAAGTAGGGCTAAGTGTCATTGACAGTCGACAGCAAAACAATTAAGTAAAAGAAGCCCCCAGGTAAGTACTTTATTTCTTGTTTTTCATGTGTATTCTTTATTTTTTATTATAAAAGTAACTAAAAATTAGGTTGGATTAGGTAAAAACATAATTATGATAATATTACAATTTTTATGAGGCACGCACATGAACAGCTCATGGGTAATGTAATTCGAAAGCATAACATGAGCCACACGTTCCCTAAGTGCCTTACAACTTATAATGGCATGAATAGTAGCTAGACATGATTCAAAGGGAAATAAAACAATAAAATGTAAGTATAAACAGATGTATACTGTTATGATACTCAAGCCACTTAGGATAGAAAGGAAAAAAAGGGTTAATAAATCAAATTGACCAACGTTGTAGAGTTAGGGTACAGAAAATAACAGATAAGATAAAAAGTTTTTCTGAAAAAAAAAATTTGATATTTATGTAGGAGATTTTTGGGTTTATGCAAACAAAATTTGAAAATTTTCAGATGAAGAAAAGTATTCTTAATATTAATATTAATATTAACAAGGTAAGCATACAAGGCTGGAGATACTATAGACATTATTTACCCAAACTACAAATCCCTATTTTGACTCCATGCTGTTTACAATTTCTAATTATTTTATTTTTTAATGTCCATCATGGACATCTCCTATATGCATTTCAAACCTTTTTTTTCAGTAAAACTTTATAGTTTATCTTTTATTTTTT